ATTGCGAAAGCTGCCTAAGCAATACTCTAAGCAACATCTTTGTTTGGAGGGTCTCTCTCTACCCAAAGCCTCCCTGTGCCAGGGTGATGTGATGAGGGATTCATTCCACCAGTTCATCAAGGAGAAGATGAATGCTCTACGTGTTGAACACCCGGAATGGTCTGGGAGAGATGTCTTGAACAAAGCCAGGGAGGAGTGCAGGCCCCAGCCACTAGTCAACCTAGACATCCATATCCCCCAGTGCTTCGACAGTCAACCAGACCTGAAACTGCTTTTGGCAATGATATTTGCGCAGATATCTTTTCACTCCATGCTCTCAGGTGGAAGGTGTCTGAGACCCGTGCGAACTCCATCCGGAACATGTCGCAAACCCAGCGCTGCCGAAGACGCCTGAAATGAGCAGCGCCGGCGACGTGTCTTTTAGGATCTTTTAGGTTTTGCCAGCACCAAGCCACAAGTTTGGTTTTCAGTATTTTTCAGCAAAGTCAATGAAATACCCACTCTCCAAACAGTGTCACTTCAATCATCGATGGGCTGGTGCTTTCGTGGATTTGGGGAAGCTGGAATTGAGGTGGCCAACCATTTCACCCAATTCAATCCAGCTGGAAACGACTAGTTCTTAGCTTGACAGTGTGAACACTGTCTGAAGTGAAGCCATCAAATCTGGGGCCTGTTGAGACGTCAAAAAAATGTGGTTTGACCAGATGTAGATGTGAAACACTCTCACAACTGTCTTGAAGCATCTTACAGCATTGAAACTGATATAAACTGATGTTCTTTTGGACTACCTACAACCTTGGACATGCAGGTGAAGGTGACTACCTGAAGACATGTGCTTGGACAAGCGACATGGAACGAGTTGTATTGGAAATGCCCAATGAATCTGGAAAGGGCACAAAAGATTCTGAAGTTTCCACCATCAGGGAACTCTTACATGAGATGGAAGAGGAAGAAGTGATTGATGTGACCCTCAACGGTCACCAGTGCTCTCGTGCACCTGCCTGCGGTGATGGCTCAGCAAAAGCTGACAGCCACAGCCTTAGGATTCTTCTGAGACTTGCTATGATTTGCACAAGTGTGAGCATCTTTCAAGTCCTGGCCTTAGCCCAGGTTCAGATTTCTTTGTGGTTGAGCCGAAGCCGACACCAATATACTTCCAGTGGTCCCCTCCGTCATTGACAAGTACTTTGAAGTGGGCTTCGCTGGCTAATGTCTTCACTGAGAAGGTGTGCACGAACCTCTTTGATTAATCAACAAATTGAAATGATGTGATACTTCTCTTTATCACCAGGAGTTGGCAGCTTCAAGAATGCTCTGCCCTGTGTGGCGTGTAGCCTATCTGAAGGAGGCTAATGCGCCTGTGCTGCAAAACACAATGAATTCAACAATAGTTCAACCGTTCCACAGCCTCAATGACAGTCACTGTTGTGATTTAAGGAGTTAACACCTCGCAGCTTGACTGCAAAGCAGCCATGTGCCAGCAACCCTCGAGCAATTGAAGTTCCAACATTCATCGGACAGGCCCTTGTCTCATTGCTCTTAGGCAAACCTCTCTATTTCATCAAGAACCGGAGCTCAGCAGAACTGGCCATGAAGACCAACGAAGCTTTGAGATTGGTGTGATGGCGCACCTGGATTTTAGGGAATGAGTTCCTGGGTGTTCCTCAATGCCTCTAAAGTCGATCTCCAATGAAGACTTTCCATAAAGTCATGAACAGTGTTATAAACATATTTGATGATACTGTATATCACCTTTGGCTCGTTATGCGCCCATGGGAGGGAACTCAAGTCCGCTTAGGGCCAGGCTGAAGAGCGCAATGAACGCAGCCGTGCAAGAAAGCATTGGTGCTGTGTGAAGTGAAAAGAAAAATACAATGTCGTGTGTAGATAGTTTGGAAACACTTTGAGTTGACAAATGTAGCTTGCACATGCTTGCACACTTCTTTCATTGTGTCTGGCTGTGGCTTAAACAGACCAGTGCCAGCTCATCTTTGGGTGGGGCGAGGTGCGTCGGCCAGCGAGGTGCATCAGCTGAATGAACAACTCATCACTTGCTTTCCATCTTGTGGTCAAAAATGAGTCTCACTTATTGCCGAGGACCTGACATCACAGTTCACAGTGCTGGCGATCCAGCCCATCATGAAGCTTTGTCCCATCAGGCTGCTACTCGATGTTTTCTTTTCATTGAGACGTTATTGTTTCCTTCACAGTGCACTATTGATGGTGTCACAACATGATGACAGCCAATGACATTTAGATTTGAACAGTGAGCGTGCTTCCAAAACATGACACAAGCTTGCAGTAGAAGCTATTGAACTTTGGAAGGTGTGAGATCTCTACGATGTGATGATCAATCATCTGCTCGGTCTGGAACCTTGGCTCCAAACATGTTATGCTTAGATTTGCCGGGGTTTGCCGGGGTTCGCCGGGTTTGCCGGGGTTCGCCGGGTTTGCCGGGGTTCGCCGGGGTTCGCCGGGTTTGCCGGGGTTCGCCGGGTTCGCCGGGTTCGCCGGGGTTCGCCGGGGTTCGCCGGGGTTTGCTGGGCTCGTCGGGTGTTCAGGTGCGTTCAGGTGGTTCGCACGACTAGATAGTTTACGCACCTTAGACTATGCATGACATAGTTACAATATGTTACAGTATGTAAGGCACCAAAAAAGTGAAGGAGCATGCGCACTCTCATTTGCTCATACGCACTGGGGACCAATTTCAACAGATTCAGTGCGGGTTACAGCCACTAAGGAAACATCATTCTTCGTTTCAGCTGGTGGGCAAAAAGTGAAGCAGCACTGTGCAGCTTTGCAGTTGCATTGCAGTGCCAGTTTGTGTTGCGCAAGTGGAACCCCTCTTGAATGTTCGGCTGAGGCCCGACTCAACATTTTTTTGCATCGCAACAAAGCAGGACCGAGCATAATCTGGTGATTCCCATGAGGTCTATTTTTAAGTTACGGACTTGTAGGATGTGGCTGCCCTTGGAGTTCCACTATGTTCCACTGATTGAGGCAGGACTGGTGGGGCAGGACTGGTGATTTCTGCATTGTGATACTTGGACTTTCTTTGCACACTTAGCTCTTGCTTTCCCGCTTCAGCTGGAATTATCATCAAGCTAGTGCTTTGGGGCAGCCCACTGCATGGTATGTTTTGCAAACTTTTCAACCCCTCCAGTCTCTCCAAAACTTGGCCTCTCACTCTTGAAACTTCAAGTCAACAACAACTCAAGCTGACGCAGTGCACTCCCTTGCTCCCTTTTCACTCCACCAGGGGTTCTGTTGCTTCAACATCCCTCCGTGTAGTGTGCCTGTGGAACCCATGCCGGTACGTTCCAAGTATATGAACGAGGAGGTTCCAGGTAAAGGGCAACCTGGTCGGCGAAAGGCATTGCAAAGCCTCTATGAGAGGAACAGTTACTGGGGCAGCAGCATCAGCAGCATCAGCAAAAGCAAAATTGCAAACATACTTGATGAAAACCATTGTGAGGTGCTATGTGTTACTCAGTGTTTCCAAGATTTTCCAAGGACCAAAACGCCATCGCAATAGGAGCAAAGGTATGAAGGACAAGGAGGAACACCCAGCTCTACCTTTGCCAGATGTCAACGATGATAATTCCAGCGAAGCAGCTTCAAGGGGTGATTTGAAGCTTGGGGGAAGGTCCTGCCATCTATGCTACAAGATGGAAGAAACCTATGTTCACCAAATCTATGAGTTACGTAACTTGTCAATTGAACTACTTTCATGTGCTCGTAACTCGCCTACGTGACTTGTGACTATGTTCACGTACTCTCTTTCAGGGTTGGGTTGACTTTCAACTTACTCCAATCAACTCTAAGGTGAGCAAGTCCGAGAACTGGAGAGAGCACTTCGGTTGAAAACTGATGATGTGAAGGATTGGCAGTTGAAGGTGACAAAGCTAGAAGAACAACTCTTCTTCAGAAAGCTGTCCCTATAACGGTGCCATAGGGTAAAAAAGGTGAGCCACTTATTGCACTAACGGTGCTGAATGTTCCTTGAACATTGAGGGCTTGAAGATTTGTTTTATTCTGTGTGGCAGTGTGCAGCGTGACTGCCAGGCCGGGCAAAGATTCTGAGTGGTCCCTTCTGTCATCTTCTGTCCCTCTCACCCGGACTTTGAAGCAATTGCTGAAAGGAAGGAAAAGTGTCGTCGCTTCAAGTGTGAAGTGTCCTGATCAACTCAACAAAACCACATCTATAGCACTCGAATGTAATGGTGTGAGACCCAAATGTAAGGAAATTGCCTTTTACTTCTTTTTACCATCGAAGTCTGCTAGGTTCATTTTAGAAGTATCCATGGGCGGGTTTTGAAGTATCCGAAGCATCCCAAGCGCCGGATTCACAGCCAATGTATATCCTGTGGTGGTGCAGGATGTCTTCCATTATAAACAGCCAGCAGCCAGCATATATGCTTTCTTCTCTGACCATAACCATCCATTTTCTCAGAAATCACCCACAGACTGTCGACTTGGTACTTCTTCGTCTCTCGGGGGCTGGTTGGATGTTTCCTTTCCGGGTCACCGAAACACGAGTTCAAAATCGTCTCCAAGGGCATCTATTCCAAACCACCTAACCAAGGGCATCTAGATGAATGCTGACTTCTTTTCCCAGACTTGCAGGGCTTAACCATGCGGCAGGTGAGTTTTTGCAGACTCCTTGGCACACTTTCTGTGACCACCTGTCGTGTGGTCAAAATTCACCAACACCCTTTGTGGTCGGTACCTAATCGCCCAAGGTTGATTGAGTCCTTTTTTCCATCCCCAGTTCTGCCTACCACAAACGGACCACTATAGAGTTGTCCTTTGTCCTAGAAGTTCAACCAAACAACCACATCTTGCCTCGGGTGTGTTTCATTCCCAGCATCACCCGATGCTGGTTACAAAGTAAAGACAACTTTCCCACCAAAATATTCCAAAATGATAATCTTTGACAAACGGCTAAATACACTGGTGATGGGACACACCCCAAAAACTACACGATTCAAACTTCCGGCCTCGCCAGTTTGCCGCTGTCTGAGAAAGCCTGCAAGGGTCGACGACTTGAAAAAACTTCGTCAGAATGGTGAAGTGCAAGGTGCAAAAAGAGTCGTTTCACAGGTCAGGCAATTGGATGTGGAAGGCTTTGGATTATGAATGCAACATTATATCTGGTGAAGCACCAGAATGGACCTTAGCATTTTGAATTGAAGGAAGTCTTGGATTTCTTCCACCTTCAACACCCAAACTGTTGGAGAATAGCGGTCAAAAAAGGCATCCCCTTGGGGGAATAGCGGAGAGCGGCGAGCATCCCCCATTCTGGCCGGGATAGCCCCACCCTCCGGGCAGTCGACCCGCGATCACCCGACCATGCCGCACGCCTCGCGAGCCGCTGGAGGGGCGTTCCTCGCCCACGGCGGAGCGTGTGTCGCCGAGGCCCAGCTGGATCTGCGGCGCTGCTCACGGCGACCGGTCGTGTCCGGTGGGTGTGGGGTCAAAGCGAGGCCCCAGGATCGGCGGGGGTGACCCCCTTTCGCGATTCAGCCTCCTTTGGGTGGGCCAGTCTAAGTATGCTGCTAGCAAATTCGTAAGTCTAAAGTATTGAGTAACCTGATTTAAAGATGTAAAACGATGTTTACAGAGTGTTTACAGTCTTTCTAAGGTCGGAGACCTTGGTTTCAAACAAAGCCATGCTCATCATCACCCGGCGGGATGACGCACGCCAACAAGACCTCGTTTTGACTCACCAAGACCTCTGTGCATCGCAGTGCTCTCCAGTGCACCGGAAAAAAAGCCTCAAGTTTCCGAAAAGCCCCAAGTTCATGGATTTCCAACCGTAAAACCGGTGGAAAAAGCAGTTCATCACCATGTTAGGGGAAGTTATGATCACCCCCTAACTTCTCCTCTTTCCGTTGTTAGGGCCGTCGGCCCCGGTTGGGCCCTCCTCGGCAGGGCGGCACCTTCGAGTCGTCGCCCCACGAGAGGCATTGCCCTTCTGCTCCCACGGCCACCTGTGACCGGAACCGGACTGGGGCGGTGGTGACGGAACGGGTAGGCCAGGCCCAGCTCATGGGTAGGTCACTCATGGAGGTACATACCAATTGGTGGTTAGTTCACACTGGTGTTCTTTCTTTTCATTTTCCCAACTGGTTCTCTGAATATAGCAACCAACCAAGGGCGTAGACGTATGGCGATCTTAGGCGATGTGCTGGGGGCCCGCGGCCGTGTGCGATTTGCCGCATTCGACTCCTTAGGAGCTCCCATTGGGAACCCAAGTGTATCGAGCTCAAGACGGTGGGTGAAGGGAACATCTCTGAGAACAGCGCAGCTGTCTTGCTCATGTATTCATGGTGGTATAGCTAGCAGCTAATCTCTGGATCCATTGCCACTCACAACATCGGAAGACACCCGATTTAGAGATCTACTTTGATACAACACCGGTCAAATTGCTATTGCAAACCTGCAGTTTTGCCAAGCGAACAGGTTTCAGAGTACAGTCTTTAATTTAGGTGTTCCCAATAGTCTTCGAACATGTCTCGTTGCTATGCCTTCCACAGTCTGGGCATGTCTGGGCCGAAGCATTTTCATGTCACAAGAAACTGTTGCCGCTTCGGCGACAAGAGTAGATGATGGAAACAACATCTCCTTGTCTCCATGACCCACCTTTTTGTAACTAACCCCATAATGTTGGGCGAATGGTATCTGGCTGCAGAAAAAGGATCTTTGCACTGGATGGCTGTGTCGAGGGAAGCTCACCTGGGCGAGCTTAAAGAAAAGACATCGCTTTCGCGCGGCACGTCCTGGTGAGAACCAGTATCTGCACATGTTGCAAGTTATCCAGCAAACATGTGCCACCCCGCCCGATTCCAAAAAATGCCATGCTCGTGATACCCACTCATGGTTGCCATGCGGGTGGACCGCTGCCGTTCGTGTTCGCTCAGATCTTTCCAGCAAGACAGTGAAACTGTGCGGTGGGAGCCCTCTCTCATGCATGGCCTTGGCTGACCGTGGTTGGGGGTCATAGTCCCGCGGGTGTCATCCAGTCCGGGCACGAAAGAACAAAAGCATACACACAGCCAACAAGTAGAGTTAGACACTCAACCTGTGAGCTGTCTACAAATAGCTAAGCCTGTCAGACACGCGTGTTTAAGCTTGAAGGGTTTTGTTACCTCTCTTAGGTTTTGAGGTAGTTGGTGGGAGAAGGAACACCACAGGTTGCGGTTTCTTCCCCATCTACCCTGCATCATCTTTCCCAAGGGTCGACATCGCGTCCTCTAAGAGCAAAGAACAGTTTTCCGGACGGATTAGAACAAGAAGAACGTCCAACTCTCAAGCCCTTAGCGTCGCAACATGTCGTGAAACGGGAAGACATTGCAAACATTTCTACACGAGCATCGTGGCCCAAGTCAACCAACAACATAATCCTCATCCCTGATGAGAAGAATTCACGCTTTCTTTCATCTGATTTAACCACCCCGGCAAGAAAGTGAAGCAGGTGGAGCCTCTTCTGCTGAGATCGACACATCACCCAAACACTTTTTTTACAACGTCTACAACACTTTTGTCATGCCTTTTGGTCAAAAATGAATCTTCTTTGGAAGCGCAACCAAGAACCGCACAGTTGAAACCTCACCATGTCTTATTTCGTTTTCTTTATGATAATCGTGAGAGTCTCCCCCATACTAGCGATGGCCTCCAACCTAATAGCTTCTTGCTCCCAGTACGTACGCCCACAACCGCCGCTCCGGTTCGCTCCACGCAAACGAACACCCCCTTCGTCAACGGTCCGTAGCGCGGCCGAGGGCGCGGGAGTACGGTTTGATGTCCGAGAGCTTCTTCGCATTCAACCGCTCGGCGCGCGCGTCCGCCACCCGACGACGCACGCTGGCCATCTCTGCTTCGTTCAAGCCGCCCCTGGCGCGGGTGGGTGTGAAGATCCCTCGTTTCATGGTCTATGTCACTTGTCTGCGAAATTCATTGAGAACAGACGCATGATCTCTTCATATCCCTTCTCCAATTCTCAAAGCTGGAGGAAACCATGCCATAATGGACATTTGATTAAATTGTGTGTCAGTTGGGCACGCAAGTGTTGGGTGTCCATATATATGTGGCTATATATGTGTCCATCAACTTCTGGTTTGGCCTTAAGACAGCTTTGCCCACCTAAAAGCAATGCTCTTGGCTTTATTCACAAACAGGTGCAGGGGAATTTCCAAACAAAGGTTGTGAGCTTCCTTCTAAATCCGTCTTCCATCACTTCCACCAAGTCCGAGAGAAACATAAAGAAAACTGCAACCACCGGTTCGAGGGACCTCTCGCGGATACACCCCCGATCGGAGACGCGAAGAAGTCAGAAGACTGAAACACTCTGCGCCTTCCACCGGTGAGGCCCACCCAAACGAGCTGTGGATCGCGCTTGGGAAGGCGATGCTCGTAGTGTCGCTGGTCCAAGGCGTATTGCTTCTCGGGCATCGTGGCAGTGGAAGCAACCACTTTGGCGGTGCCACAGGCGTCGCGGTATTCGTACACGGCGCCTTGGGATTGGAAGGTGACCGTAGGGAACTCAGAAGATGAGAACGACCTCGAAGGGAACCTGAGAAGGGGGAAACGAAAGCCATCATTACCCCACGAAGAGGATCTCTTTCTCTCCAAAACCTAACCGTATCAAGTCATGGGGCTCGGTACGGATGCCGTTGAAGCCTGACAACGGACCCCACGAAGTCAGCACTTCGTAGGGTCTCTTTAATCATTCCCGATATCTAATTCGCATGTATGTGGCTGTTTACTTATGGAGTCTATTAGGCTTTGTTAGGACGTATAGGATAAACCCTTGACTGTCCCAACCTGTTCTCGCAAAGCCTTGGTGCGTGTCCATGACTGCGAATATTGTTTGTACAAGGTGACCGCGGCCAGGCCTTGTCAAAGCTATGGTTAAAGATCTGGATTCCAGGTTGTAGAACCTTCTGGACTATACTTTAAGATCCAAATGTACTCCCGGCGTCAGATGTCAAGGGACATGAATTTGGGTGGCAGCCAACATCACCCAGCACTCCAAGCCTACATGTGCTCCAATGTAATGATGATGCTAGTGATGCAATTCTTACCTTGCATCTTCTGCATCACCAACTACCCACAAAACATTACATCCGTGGAAAATTACAGACAGTTTGCATAGACCAACTTCAACCTTGGCTTTCTTAAAATTGAGAAATACAGATTCCACAAACAAAACGACGCTTCCTAAACACCCCCCCGGACCGTCACTTCCCATCACCATTAAAACATCTTCGCCATCTCTGATAGGTCTTTTCCCATCATGTGCCAGGGGCATCAACACACTTCCGGGCGCGCCGGGCCCCCTTTTCTCCCGCTGTTCCCAACAGGGCACCGAACGCCAAGGGCGCCCGCGGCACCGCGAGTTTGCTCAGCGCCAGGTCCTCGCCGCGCGGCACGGCGTTGCGCCGCGCGGCGTTGAAGCGCGGTAGCTCGGTAGCATCGGCCCTGGGGCCCTCCACGCCTGGCGTCTGCGATGGAGGACTCTGCATGATCATGAGGTATTTGGGTTGTATTGCCCAGACGCGACCCTGCACCCGAATCCTGAGGAGTCTGGGGTTTTTCACCACGGTCTACATTGAATTCATGACAGAAAAAAGACACATCGAGAGATTTGTACGACCGCATACTTCTTTCACATGTGTGTTTTCAAGCCGTTTTCATGGCGGTCTTAGACCGGTTTCACCCTGAGACCGAACCATCAATGGGTCGACTGCAGTCCGAGACCCGAGGTCTTCCGTGTGAGGAAGATGTTGCGACGGATCTTCCACGCCTATCGCGCCAGACCCAAACCCATGCTATGCCGCCCCAAACAGACCCCCGCTGGCACCACCCGAAGGCAGTCCGGACTGGCAGTCCCACCGGTCGCCGTCTGGGTAAGGAAAGGAGAAGGACTTCCATTGCTGTACAGCACACCGTGAGAATTCCGACTCGGCTCACACACCGAGAGGATGAATGGACGGAACTCATAGACCGGTTGGGCTATGAATTGACAACTGAATAGATTCCAAATGAAAGGATTCTGTGATGACCTCCTTTTTCAAACACTGGTGGGCATCTGCTGGCCTCAAACGTGACTCAACAGAGTCTCTTCCCATCTATCACCATCACCATCTCATCCAACCTACGCGTCTCTCACGGGTCTCACCACCTTTTTACTACACGACCTCAGACCTGGACCTCCTCTCCTCTTCGACTGTTGCCGTCGCCTGAGCTCAGCGCGTTCTGCCGTTGCGCTTCGATCTCCGCCACCGCTTTGGAGGCGACCTGGTGATCTGCCGCCTCGCCGGCGGCGCGCAGCGCGGTGCCACGGGGGCCCTGCAGGACAAGCGCATCGAGGCGGCCCTGGTCCAAGCCCAGCGCGAAGTCCTGAAGAGACGTGAGCTGATCGATGTGCGGCCGGATCTGTGCTTAGCCAGAAAAGCCGGGAAATACATATTTGAGGGAATTCAACCACAAAAATAGACATCACCCTTAGTAATACCAAGTGATGGAAGAGATCGGAAGAAGAAGCGATATGGGTGTGTGTTTTATTTGGGAAACCTTCTGGCCCAATGGGTTTAGCCTATCTTCCTTCTTCCAGAGGCTCTTTGAGAGATCTCCCATTTTAAGTGCAGGGCATTGCCGTGCCGTGTGCCGTGCCATGCATAGCATTGAGACGGGCGAGTCCTACCCTCGAAAACAAGGCATTCTTTTTTGAAAGATAACGTCCCATCACATGCGCTGGCGCAGTAAAACCCAAAGAAGCATGGAGACCAAATGACTAAGCTGTTTGCTGAAAAACACAGGGGAACAATGACCTTATTTGATGAAAGTGAAAGAACTGAACACAAAAAGACTCAGAAAGTGTCTAGAGTGTCGACGCAATGTCTGGTGGCTTTCGACTGGATCCTTTTGAAGCAAATAGCAAAAGCACCACAGCTTAGTAAAGTTCCTTTTTTTTTCAAAAACCTGTACTCCAAGCCAAACCTCCGAACATATCGTTTGGACCCTCCATGCATCACCAAACGCCGGCTGTGTGTTTCGAAGGGGAAGATGATGGAAGATGGATCATCTGGGCCCCCCCAACTCCTTAATTCTTGTTCCTAATCGCTTCTTTGTTCCGTTCGTCGTAAGACCACGAGCCCCTACTAATTCCTCGCGCCGCGTCCGATCGCTCCCGAGCGAGGCATACATGCTCGAAACGCTCCGAACTCGTCGCGTCCTCGAATTCCCTGCTAAACAGTTTGGCCCAAACTCCGCGGCCGACTGTTCGGCCAAAGCTCCACCACTGCTGGCGATCTCCATGGCTCCACAGGCTCCGCACCCATCAACTCGACGCATCGATTCGAGCGCAGTGCCACCGTGCGGTCGCCGGCCTCGCTTTGTGCGCCTAGACGGAGGAGTGCGGTGAGAGACGATAAGATGAAACGGATGTAGACAGGGCCTTCCTGACAGCCACCCAAGGAGTACAAGGGCCTTCCTGACCAGAATATGGTGGAATCTGAGAAAACTTCTGTGTCCAGCCCGTCATGTCCCACACTTTCTCCCACTTCTCGTCCTCCAAAACCCTTCCGCGATCCATCTTCGTCTTTGGTCACTGCCAAGCTCTTGGAAGGTCTAACAAACGACCAATTGAAAAAGAAACACCAACCAAAAGTCTTGACCTGAAGCTGATCCCCAGCCACTCTCAGGAATCGGCTTCAAACGTCTGGCGCCGGTGTCCCCCCGTGAGCCGGGCCGTGGAAAGCCGTCCCGTGACGGCGGAGTGGAGCGTGTGTGGGCTGGAAGGTCGAAGAAGCCACCCGGTCGGTGCGTGGAGCGGTCGAGTTTCAACCGCCGCGGATCGAAGACGGTGTGCTTCACTTCCATGGCGACGAAGAAGGCAGAGATGGGGGACGACGATTTTTCGGCCGAGCTCGGAGTGGAGTCAAGCAGATTGCATGGAGGACAGGGCCGGGACCGGGTGCTATCCATGGAGGAAGGAGGTTAGGTGCCCATGAGTGCCGATTTCTCTCATTCTCCACGGCCCCTGGATGGGACGCGCCACAGCATCCCTTTTCATGTGACTCCTTGGAGGAGAAGAACCTTGGGAGATTTTTTCAGCTCTGGTCATGTGAACCAGGTCTTTGCCCAGCTAAAATGACTGCTTCCTTCATATATTGGATGTCCGTCCAACGAACGCCATAAGGAGAGAACCACAACTGTGACCGAGTCTGAGGTCTGTATTCAAGCCATAGATTCCCATGAACAGGAAGAAAACCTGTCCATTTGTAAACGGAAGAATATAGAGCATTCATAGAAAACCAATAAAGATTGTTGCGTGTTGTGTATCTGCTTGGATTCGAGGTCCTTTCATGTCCTCTACTTGCGCTGTCAACTTGTTCTCTGTCATATGAGACCTTTTTGCGTGTATCCATGCGCTGATCCTGATCACTGCAATGGCTCCGAAATCCATCGAACGCACCGGTCGCTGCTGGACATGGCTGTGGCGACCCTTTGACCGCTTTGAACTCTTCACTGTTGATGAGGTCGAGTTGGCTCGCAAAGTGGACAGCCGTCCAGAAAGAACCCACCTTCACAGGCAGAAAGAGGACTTATGTACTTCTACCTTGTCTCACCAAACACCTCTACAGATCGACATGTCCCCTTGTCCCACCAACCGCTCCTTCGTTCAGTTCTTCGTCCAAAAAATCGACGGTCCGGACCCTTCGGCAGGACGTGGCCACGTTTTGCACCGCAGGATCGAAGCCACACCTGAGACCGTCCGTTCAGACCGTCAAACGGCGACGTCGTCACGCACGTCGGGCGACCCGGTTGGTTCGGAGTCACGGGAACTCTGAGGTCAGTGCGCTGACTGAGTTCAGTCGGATGAAGACCAGTCATACGTCATGAGTCCAGTGAGCAAGACCCCGAGGTGGTGTGAGTTCCGGTCTCCGGATGATGGATGTGCACCTCCAAGCATCCAGTGATACGCCATCCAGCGAGTTGCTCGTCTTTTGGGATCAATCGACTGCCCCACAGCACAAAGACGAAAGCGCATGGAAGTGAATGGCATAGGATCCATGGAGATCATCGGATGGAAGGCCTCTTTTCCATTCTTTTTTTCTCTACAACCATATAGCAGGATTCTTCTACCCAACTATTTGTGTTTGAGAGGGGAGAGAGCGCTGTGAGTAAATGGTTTCCATGAACCATGGTTCCCAGTTTCACATATGGTTCTTCACTCTTTTCTGTTCTTCGTCACTCGTGCCGCGCCGCCAGGGACCTAGGTGACGCCCCGCCCCACTCGTGTGTCGCCACCGGGTGCTCCACTCGCCACAGGCATTTCGTCCCAGGCAATACACGCGGCCATCCTCGCGGGAACGAACGAGGAAGGGTTGGGAACGACCAAGACCATCCAAACACGGATGGTTTCTTCACATGGCATGAGACATATAGCGTCTATCTAACAAGTCGTCTACAAGACATATAGCATATGTCAAACATATGTCAAACATATGTCTCAACATAATGTATATATAATGTCAACTATATATCAAAATAGGTCACATATTTATGTGGCATATATAAGACACTCAGTCACCGGGGGTGGGACACTCAGTCTAGGGGTCATGGGACAGCGATGTCCGTTTTTTCGTCTTACTGTGGAGGGTTCCATGGATGTTTCGAAGTTCGACATCGGCATTTCTACCATTCTCCACCCCAAGTTCATGTGGCAGGTGTCATATAGAAAATCAACAATGTCCACCATTCTCCACCGATCTTCGAACTCTATATATATATATTTTTTTTCTTTTTTTCAGCAGCTTCATATTGGCTTCTGGGTCACGGCCAACCAACGCGGGCACGACCTACCTGCAAGGTCGGTCGTGAAACAACGACCCGAATGGCGAGAGAAGACGAACGCGTGAACGGTGGTTCTTGGGCGTGACGACTCTGCCCCTTTTCTGACAAAAAGAACCGGAAACAGTTACCCACCAACACTTGGACACGCCCGGAACTCCCTGAACTCCGGACCGACCTCGACCGCTTCTCCCGCTTCTCGCTCCATCCTCCGTGAGAAAGGCCGCGTGCATCGCGCCCACGGACCTCGGTGAGATGGACGTGTTCGTGGGTGGAGGGCAGAAACATGGGAACACGGAGACATGTTGAGGTGTTACGTACTGTTGGTGCGATGTCGATGTCTCAGTTGAGTCATTATATAATTCTTCAATAAAGGTTTGTAGTACATCTGTAATAACTGTACAGAATGTGTATCAAGAACTGGCTGCTAGATGACGGTACAATTGCAGCTAACTGCAGCTCAGCGTCGCTTTCTTGGAGAAGTTACGAGTTTGCTTCCACCAAGAGGAGGTGACCAAGAAGACTTAACTATACTCTGAATGGATGTCGTTCTCCTTTCAGCCTTTTGTGTACAAAATGACATCGAATCATGTTTTGGATCAGCTTGCCAAGCCCACGGCATCTGCTTGACAGGTCTTTTTAAGCCTCCCAAACGTCTGCCACCAACGCAAAACCTGTCGCGAACATTGAAGCATTGTGAGCACTTCGTACAGGGCTGGCACTAGGGATGACATGGGCTCCTTTCAATTGCTATAGAACTCCTGAGTTCCTCAGGGGACTTGATGACGTCCCTCTGAATTCGATTCCACCAATTCTCCCACACGTCCATCCCCAATCTCTTGCGTTCCTAGATGAACCCTTAAAAACGTAAAAAAATCACAGTTCATCTTATTTTCATCTCCATACACTAGAAAACACATCAAAAAGGGAAGGACGGCGTCTTTCACCCTCCACCAGGTGCGCCGTCCTTCACGTCTTTCGTTTTCGCGCGCCGTCGCGACCCGACCGACACAACGCCTCGGCATGTGGGAGGCTAAATGGTCACTGATCATCTGCGGCACCTCGAAGCGATTCGCTTCGCTTCCTCATATTGTGGAGGCTCTATTGTTCAATATGTATCCCATAAGGGCCGGGTATAACTATCCCATTCCCTATGGCCTTATAACCAAGCATGATGATGGTGAGTAAAGGGCTTTTAAACAAAACGTTATCATCTTTTATCGAGTTCTACAGGTCATGGGACGCACCCAAGTCTACCATTCTCCTTCACGATCCTTTTGCAACAGGGGTCCCAATCAGCTTCCATGATTGTTGGAGGGAGGGTAGACCTCCAAGCTTGCTGCCCACAGAGTTTTCCTGAATTTCTTAAATGTGGGTCCTTGGGCTTGTCCTTTGTCTCCGCAAGAAGCCGTCATCGTCTGCTTTCGAGTTCTCCAGCACCCTTCTCCGTCCAAGCTGGTGAAGATCTCCGAAAACGACCGGTTGGGCCAAACGGCCATGGCCTCTTCGCTTTTTGGGGTGTTCAAGTGATCTCATCTTCCTGTCGCAAGTGACAAGTCGGAGCACCCTGTTTCTGCACATCTCTTGATCCATCTCGCCACCCGCTGTCGCGCGCCGCTCGCCGTGTCTGAGAGTCTTAGACTTCAAACAGCGAAGACAGAATGTGTGGTGGAAGGTTGAAGACTGACATCATGGGCCTGTTGAACCAAATCTGTCAACAGCTTGAGGCAAAACAAGCGACATAGCTGGGTAAGAAAAGGCCACGGTCCTCACCAGACAGTTCCTTGGCCTACTCATACTCCCTAGGGCTCCAACCATACCCTCAGGAGGTGGTTAGACCCCCCTGGCACCCACCCCAACCATCTTCGAAACGGAGGTGGGCCAAGAGCCCTAGGGACTTAGAAGCTCTAAGAACGAAAGAATTCAGGTCCCAAAAAGCTGTCAAACATCAACCTGTCTAGACTTTGTGGCCGCCGCCACTGGGGGTGAGACGTCTGAGGTGGAGGGCGGCACTGACCATCACATGAGTTACATTTACTGAGCTGAAGAGTTCACCTCACTTCAACTTCCTCCTATAGTGGTAAGTTAAAGGGCTATCTCCTAAACTGCCCCTGGGTGCTTCAGTTGTAGCATCCTCTGCCTATAGTCAAAGGTGGCCTGGGGATTAACAGGGACTCACTAACATGGAAGTGGACACTCTGTGTCTCTAGAGGACAATATTCTTCCAAGCAAGGGACCATTTTTCACTTGCATGTGATGTGTTCGTCAGAGTGTAACTGATTGCTCTTGTTCAAATGAGGCACAACGATGCAAAGTTCACTGCCGACAACCCTTTTCTTGTTCAGTTTTTCACGTCTTGACGTGGCGTGACGCGAGAGCTTTGGCACGTGACGACCAGCGCGCTTTGGGCAAACGTCTTTTCATCGCATCCCTAACCCCTCCCGCTCGGATGTCACTCGACGACGAGGTCAAAGGTGGCCATGGGAGCCACTGCCTCGAAGATCGAAAAGAGATGACTTACCATGTGAAGAAAAGAGAGTGGTATTTTTTGAGGCGCAAACGTCTCTGTTTTCTCATCAGTTCGATATATAGCTTCATGAAACCAAACGGTATTATGTGGCACCATATGGCATCCAGTTATTGAACTGGATGTGGTTGAAGATGCGCGATCGAACTCACGTGCGAGCGAGGAGGGCACCATGCCCTCAACGCGGTGCTGATGTGTCGCACGGCGAGCTCGGAGCGACGGCCATGTGCCATGGGGTCCCAGTGATGTCCCATGTCCACAGTAACAGAGGGGTCGGTTTGGTGATCCATTGGTTGTTCACTTGGGAGTTATCCCCGCTATAAATCAATCAATCACTATAGTTAAAGGGCCATCTATGTGTGGTCCTCCCATGGGCCCCTTGGAATGTTTTTGGTGCAAGCATTCTCGTGATTGACCCAACACTTGGTGCTTCTCACTTGGTGTTCTCGCGTTCGGTCCATTCAAGGTCTCATTCATCACGCCAATGAACACGTCCTTTGCGGCCCCAAATCATCTCGTGGCTTTTTGCTCCCAAATAGAACGTCATCACCAAGAACGCACGCAACGCTTCACATGCTAAGCATGAAAGGTGCCGCCGTCTTAACACACCTCACGCGCACCAACGCTGGCCTCGTTCTCAAATCAGAAGCAACCACATCTTCACATGCTTGGGATCTTTGGAGACCAACATCACCGGGACAACACCGGGCACCCGGGAACGGTCCCGTGATGACCTGCGGTGGACCCGGTGGGTGCTGTTTGCTCCTCTGAGGCTTCACACGGTGCTGCTGTTGGCCGTCTCGAAGCTGTCAGAGGCGTTCAGCACCTCTTGACATAGGTCACCCCAAGCCGAATACTTACGTTACTTATGCATATTGACTGACACTGTGTCTGTTGCAGATGTGAGTGCGTGCCTAAAAACCCCCACCACTTAGTTAGAAAGAACACGGACTCGACTCACGTTTCGGTGACAAGGACCGGTCGGTGGCCTCCTCATCTCCCAGCCAACCACTCCGCATGAACACCTGAAGGGATGAGCAGAACAGTGTAGTGCGGCGCACCAGTGCCCCTTTCAGCGGAACAAGTCATATGTAGCGGAAACCCATTGGTTTTTGGCAGGACCACTTTCCTCCGAAACAGATCGAACTGTTAACGAGCTCCCAATCCCACGCATCGCTGGTAGATGTGTGCGCTGGGCCAACGCTTCAAACGGTTGGAGGATGTTGGAGGCCATCGCTTTTAGGGTGGAGGCCATCGCTTTCTAGGTTGGAGGCCATCGCTAGTAGGACTGTCTTCAAACCAACTTCAGAATTCCCCAAGCCTAACGGAAGCCTTCAACCTTGCACCCGCCTTGCTGCCGTATATCCGCAGTGCGGAGCCATCAGCTGCCTGAGAAGAGACCAACCATTTTTTTGGAAGGCAAAGTCTCCCAACAGGCGCGGGTCCTTTTTCAATAAATTCATATTCATAGATCTGACATAGAGTTTTTATATACATGTATGGAATAGTTAGTTACCTACATGAGGGTCTTGAATGGGGCCAATGTATGTCGGTATTCCATACATGGATGGTCCGGGATATGTCCATATATCATGAGAGTCTCTCCTCAAATGCGGGAAGTCGTCATGACAACCCCCGTTCTAACTTTGACATCGATGGGACACGCGCCTCGAGCCATAGATGGGAGTCACTATACTTCACCACACTGGAGATCTGTAGACACCTGCACGAAGTGCATGGCAGGCTGAAGCACCAGGCTGGCTGTGGTTTACACTCAGACTCACGACACATGGAAATGGAGTTCACCCACTGTTCGTAAGAGGCAAAGTCGTCTGCCAAGGGACCATGCCATCCATGTGTTCGTCAGGGTGTTCGTCAGGGTGTGTAGTCTTCCGTTTTCACTTCAGGTCGGCACCGCAAGATTGGCTCGACCCATGTCAACGTCGACGGGAGTGCGAACAAACATCGGCACAAACGACGTCTGAACCTTCCACGACATCTCCGTTTGGACGCCACCCGGCGGAAGCACCCGGCCTCCATTGACCCCTGTCATGGGGCGTGACAGACATACGAAGGTAGGTCATTGGAAAAGACATGAAACAACATACTGTTGCCTTTCTTATCCCATTCGCCAAATCCGTTCGACCATTGATAAGCCATGGTTGACCTAGTTTTGTAGTGTATTTTCTCTTGGGATTCGAACCATTCAAATCCAATGGTGGGCCGGACTGCTAGGGGTTATGACTTATGACGATTCCTTCTCCTGATTCTTGCGGCGTGGCACTGACATAGCACCAACATGAAGAAGAGAATATCCCACATGCCGTGATCGTTGCATCCGGAGCGCAAGGTGATGCACAAGGCATCTGAGTGATGGACCAAATCTCTGGCAGTCAGGGACTGACTCCGGGGATGTTAAAGTGAGAGAGAGAGAGAGTATTTTCACCCTTCCACCCTTCCACCTCTGTCCCATTCTTTTCACCCTCTTTCTGTGGAGGTCCCGGGGGACCAACCCAAACTCATCGATGAAACGGATGATCCCGTCCTCATCGATTCCGATTTGTCTCATCCGTCTCTGGAGCGATTTCTTCGAAACAGGACGGAATCGCTGGTGAACGAGCGCCACATCTCGGAGATGTTGCAGGGTGCTGGCTGGCAAGGTGGCACAAGACGCCAGGCTCCTCACCCAGCGTGTTGGAGATCTTGAAGCAAGAACCAGAGAAATCATGATGTAAAATGTGGTACCTGATACAAAAACGCATGACGATCTGATTCCTTCTCCGGACATCTTCAGAGTTGGCCTTTTCACACAACGCTTGTGTGGTGAACGACAGCGTGCAGGACGATCCTTGCTTGCCGCGCGACGCCCAAGGCAACCACCTGTCGAGATGAGTTGAGCTCATGTGGAGAACGGCGCTCGGAACTCTGAGTCTGGGTCGTTCTCTCCAAACAGAGTGGTGACGTCATTTTGATGTGTTGACCCGTCGTGAGATATGGCCAAAACCTGGTAGAGAATCCCTGATAAACTACTGAGGGTAAAAAGTAGTATTATATTTACTGGGTTGCAATACCCACTAAACCATCCATTTGGATCCATTGTGGTGGTTTTATGGGGTTTTGGATGTAGCTCAAGTGCTGATCTGTTTTCTGATGTCGAAACTGGTTTCGCTTCTGCATCGCCTGCCCAGGTTGGCTGGCTATCAGCAAGCCGCTTTCAGTGCTGATGTCCTGAGAGTGGAGGACAAGGTCTATTTTTGTTTTGCACGCCTTCATTGGTTTCTACAGAATGAAAGGATGGAACATGATGCCTTCTGTAGAAGGAAACCTTCTCACCTTTTTGAAACCCCTTTCCATGCATCAGCCGATGGACATCCATGTGTTTCTTCACCCCCCTGACGCCGCACCGGTGCCGAACCGACCAGGGGTCGTCGCCGGACGGAACGACGACCAGGGCGGACGCGGCAGGGTGGACCGGTTGAACGGACCCCGACCGCACGACTCACGAACCGTTGAAGGACCCAGGAGCTCGAAAGTTCTCTCGAGTCAAGAGCAGGAAGAGCAGCAGAATGATCGCTAATGCCAGGGCACAACCTGGCGATCCAGATCCATGTCATCCCATGCTGGACATAAATCCGTGTCATCCTATGCCTATGGACAGGGTCGGGCGTCCCATCGGTTCTGCAGGTTTGATGCAGGTGTCCAATATCCCAAGACCACCCTTTGACTACCTAGTATGCGCTAGATGTTGTCGGATGCGCACATGCTCGATTGCATGACACATGGCAACGCATACGACATGAGGCGTTTTGGAGGGGTGTTGATCATAAGGCATCTTCTGGAGCTGTCAAGAACTTGAAGGGGATGAACACCTTATAGTAGAATTTACAGATGAGACCTTGTCAAGCACTAAAAACTTGCTTCATCAAGAACGTGGATGAATCCTTAAGGAGCTATATAAAGGAGAAGCTTGGCCGGTCTTCGCACACGACCTCTTTTTTTCGCGGGTTGGTACATGCAAGATCTTTTTTGAATTGACCCTTCAAAAGAACAAAGGCAACACCGAATCCTTCGTGAAGATGACGCTGGCTAGCGTCAATGCGGTGTTCATTGAGCAACTCTAAGATTCATGATGGATCAACTGGTGAAACGTTCACATGCAACGTACAACGTGACAAAAACTCCGATTTGAGTCTCCGCCACAGGACCAATCGGCACGTTCCTGAAGCCTTGTTCCTGAAGCCTTGTATATGGACCTGGGATAGAACGTCTGGGGTCTACTGGCGCCAAGCACATGGAACTCAACCTCTTTCTGAAGCCCTAGAGGTGATTTGGGGACCTGTCCGCAAAGAAATCAAATGCGGCTCGGAACGAAAGCGGATGACATTTGCGAGTGAGACGAGCTGAAGCTCAGGATCTTAAAAGGCTGCGGGCTTTCTCAAGAACGTCCTCAAGGCAACACATGTGAAAGCTGGGGCTCGTGCTCAAGCTGAGAAAACTAAAAACTTTCAAGTAACATGCCTGTCCTTCTTGATCTTCGGATAGTTTTCTGATATCTTCAGAACACTCTGGCAAATGTTGATAGCTGGAACATATCCTTGACATCCGGGTGCAACAACAGTGGACAGCAACGGTGTGTCAGCAACACAAGAGAACAGTGAACAGCTCAAGCAACAAATACAAAACAGGAAGTGCTTGCAGTCACGGCGCGTTTGGCTTTCAGGTAATTGAAAGCAAGACGATAGCCTCAGATCACTCCAAGATCACTCAACGCCTCGTTCGACGGATCCATTGGTCTATCCAAAGCCAAACCATGTAGTCAACATGGCAATTGCATGGAGGAATCTGGAAGGAAAAGGACTTCTTTTAGGAACAAGCTTCGCTACGTTCGGCTCCTGACATCGTAGCACGAACGGAGCGATCGGAAGGATGATACTAGGACGGAGCACGTTCGTTTGAACGTGCTCGACGACATCGGCCTACTGACCGACATGGTGGTGCATCCGGTGCTACTCCGGTGCCGAGTGACCCACAGCGGGCGAGGCTTCATTGCAGAATTCCCAGGCCTTCTCATAGTGAGTTGCAGCGTCCTGGTTCTTTTTTCTGCTCTCCGAGCACCGTATCTGAGCACTGTGTAACCCATCGAGTGGTCATCGTTACTTGCATGAAAGAAGTCCAATGCCATTGCATTCTTGCAGTGTTCTCCCTAATTTTGCCGTCCTTGTACGCTTGCTCCTTCTCATAAATCAGCCCTAGCTGCTCCCAAGCCTGCGCAAAAACACGCTGCGCCAAAGCCGCAATTGACCGTCCAAAAGCCATTCAACCCGAATTCATGCGCAGCTTTGCTTGGATTTGCAGTCCAAAAAGCTGGGAAAGAATGGACACATACCTGAAGTGTTCCCAAGAAGGGGATGCACCCATAGGGAAGGCAATACTGTAATTACCCCAAGCAAAGCCATGTTGGAATTGAACAACCGGCCCGCCTTGCCGCAAGATCGATTGTGATCCTGTCAATTCGCGTGTGCATCTCTGACCCTTGTCTACTGTGAGTTTCAAGAAATTCCGAACGTGCACCCCCTCGCCCTACCCGAAGAACCCGAGGCCCGGCCTTTGCCAGATGACACAACGATGATGCCAGGTCATATTTGGAAGACTGAATATAGATTTCTGCCAGCAAAAGCCACGCTCTCCTGAAGTTTCATGATCCACCAGCCAGACCAGCCGCAACATTTGACTCTGAGTTGCTGTTGCTATTTTGAGACCAAGACACTCAAAGTCATCCATGAATTCGGGGTTATAACCTGAGTTCAAGGCATATTGCAGGTCTTCTTACACTTGGCAGTGGGTGCAAACATGCTCAAACCACTCAGATTAAACGCATGGACATGGACTCAAACCAATCTTCAATTTGTTTCCGCTCTAACCTCCTTGTTTTGCATCGGGCCATCCTCAAAGTTTCCTCCTACACAATCAAATGGCACCAGCTCACCCTGCATGCTCATCAGCCAAGTAGCCTTTCTTGGCCAGATCAGCAATGCGCTTCAATTGGTTTCTGGCTTTCGTCTGCTGCTTTTGGATAATGAGGCCTAACGGTCTATCGCATCGCGGCATCGCTTCGCATCGCTTCGTCCGACGTCCAACTTCTGTGGGGAGGTTCGGCGGCCCAACAACACGGCCGCACAGGTCGCGTCACCCTTTTGGGCGTGTCTGTTTTTTTGTGTTCGATTTAAACCAAAGGAAGCCACCACACCCTTTCGATTCTTTCGATCTATATCAATATTCCTCCGGATTGGCGGAGATTTTGCAGCACGTCCTCAAGGGTCTGCCTGAAAACATGGTTGCGCAAAGTTTGGCGCGGCCGAGGTTGTGCTGAGGAGTTTGTCTCTCTCTCTCTCTCTCTGTCTTGGATGACTGACTCAAGAAAGGATAGTTGACAATTTAATTCTCCGTCCCCGCCTTGGGACATGGCCAGCAGCGCAGGGATGTAGTCCTCGCGCAAGGGAAACCAAACAAAGGAGAGGTTCCAAAGCTGTTTCCAGCCCCAATACACCTTGTTGATACAAGCAGAGTAAGCAGAAAATTCCACTCCGAAGCGAACAAAAGAACCAGGGAAAATATCACCACTTTAATGGGTTTTGGGACAGGTGACTCGAGTCCCTTTGAGGAGCCATTCGAGCCGAGTGCGAAAGAACTCAAAAAGCTCACGCGGGCGAATTTCGCCCAAAACGCTCCGATCCCATTGGTTTTCGACCATTTTCCGAAAACCTTCCCCCCCAGTGGTTTTGGGATGGAATAGTCCTATGCAGGGGAGTAGGTTGCGTGGGTTTTGGGATGAGACTTCTTTGTGATTCCCCTGTCAGAGCTGGCCGGGGCTCCCGGGTCACACGACGGGGGCTCCCGGTCTGGACTGGCTCCCTTGTCCTTTTTGTCGTTGTAGATATCCATGAGCTGGTTCAGCGCATGTTCCACGTTGGTCTTTTGCTTGGTGAACATGAGGCTCTGGCACTGATACACCTGACGCTTCAAATAGGTCCCAAAAAGCACCGTGCATCCTAATAGCTACAAGCAGCTGGCCAGCTAGTGTGAAGTCCCAGTCCATATGACAAAGCAGTTGAATCCTAAAAGCGAGGAGATGCCTATAGATGCATCGAGGGCCGGCCTTTTCCTCCACAGGACCTGTCTAGTTGAGGTCTAGTACAACTGGACTCCAGTAGTGGAGAAACCCGCACTGGCTATGATGAAGAAACGGAACCCCTCCCCGCAGGGGGGGGTGGATGACTTGAACATCGGCAACATGGATCGCTTACGCATCGGAGGTGGGGTGATGGCGGTGTGGTAGTAGGGGCCTAGATATACTATAGGTTATCATATATCTAACCCCTCCGCCAACGCTTCGGCGACCCAGATCATCGCGCTTCCGATTTCGCGGTTCCACCCGGTTTCCCCCGCCGCAGAGACATCGATGATCAATGAGGGGATGGCGAAGGGATTCGCGGTTCGGCCCGGGCCTTCAGGCGAGGATTCCAGGATTGCTTGTTCACTTGGCTGAGCTCTTTGAGCAAATTGTCCACTTCTCTGAGGTTGTCCTTAGAAGTTCATCCACTTCTCGCAACCTTTGTTCAGGTGCTACCAGGGTTATAAGAAGCACATCAAGACCAGCGTTCCTAGGTTGTTCGTTGTTCCAAGTTTCTACAACCCATATGAACCCATCACCTATATACAGTAGAGACAAAAGGCTCATGCAGTTGTATATCTGCATCTCTCTCCGCGGCCGAACTCCGCCGACAAAAACAAACACTTCGTTCGTTCGTCTCAGTTCACATGCCATGGATCATTCAATGGCTCGGTGGAAGGATCCAACGCCTCGACACCTGCATTGGGATCTGGGTTCCTTGGCTGAGATCACATCGTGGAGATGAATGAGAACAATGCATGAGAACACATTCGAATCGCACCGTTGTAGCCACTACGTAGAATGAGCCGGTTCATTGTTGCATCGAATGCAACCGATGAAGGGAAGAGGTTGGAGGCCACCGGATTTTGTGGAGGAAAACATAAGAGTCCATATTCTCTATATCGTATCATAGTGTGTTGCTTTTTTTGCCAATATATACAAAACACACAAGAATTTCACCAAACAGTTTCCATCAGCCAATTCTTCCCTCATGACCAAACAAGTGTCAGCCTGAGCCTCCTCCCCCCAAAAGAAAGCATCATGGCAGCCAACTCTCCCATATATAGACCCTTTTTGTTGGGGGTGAAATACGCTGGGGTTGGCTATTTAAAAAAGAAACAACACTAAAATCATGAGACCCCAAACAGTGTGTCTGGCACATGTTTGGTGTTCTCTCAACATCTCAACAACCACCAGACAAACACATGGCCCACCAGGCGTCAAGTAGATCAACAAACATCAAGTATATATAATGAAGTTAGGACATCCAGGGTTGGGCATTAAACAAAACAAAACTCCTTAAAAAAAAGAAAACGACACAAACATCCACAGACATCCAGGCGTCAAGTAGATCTCGATCATATGCGTCAAGGCTTCCACCCGAAAGTCCGGATCCCGCCGGGCGAAGTTCAGCTCCACC